GCAGATTAATCTCAAAGTATCAGTGTCTTAAAACAATAAAAGTTATTTCACCTGTATCACATCCAAACCAATCAGTGCTGGGGTGTGGTGGTGGGGAGGCTTTGTGCCACCAAGTCATTTGAAGATGCTGGCTCCTTCCATCTTGTGTGGCTGCCATCTTCAACATAAAGGCTTCAGGGTTGCTACGGAAAGGAAAGAGAAGGAGTATGGAGGATCTCTTGGGAGGATCTATGGGCTATGTTTGGAACTGGTTTACATCACTTCTACCCATATTCCAATGGCTAGAAATAAATTACATGGCCCTACCTAACTGCAGGCTAGGCTGGAAGATATTTAACTGTGTGCCCAAAAAGAAAAGGAAACAGGCTTATGGACATACAACATGACCCTGACACATTCATCAATAAGAAAAAAAAAAGTAAATTTGCTGAGAGTTCTGGGATCAGTCTCTAGTAACTCCTCCGAGGAGTTACTAGAGGAACTGGAAATAAATCTTAACTAGAGGAACTGGAAATAAATCTTAACCAGTGTGCCAGAGGAGTGCATCTGGTACAGTTCTACATGTGAGGAAGAGACTAAAAGATCAAAACGGGGCCTTGGAGTAAACATAAAGCAAGGATCAGGAGGAAGAAATGGGATTAATAATAGAGAGTAGGAAGTTTGATTTTTACTGGAGAATCACATCTTCCTCAAAAAGAAAAACAAAAGGAAAGTGTGAGAATATAGAGATTTTGAGGTGAAAAGGGGAGAAATGAAAGATCGTTGGGTTGAATCACCTTGTCTTCTCTGAAGACATTAGGAGCTATCTGCTTAATACAACAGGCCTGGGGAGACGTCTGTGCAGGTGCTTAAATGAACAGAAAAGGTTGGCACGGGTACTGTGAAGAACGGCTGAGGCATTTGCTGCAGAATTTGGAAGGAATCTTTTAAGACTAACCTGGCGGCCACGATCTCTTACAGGATGTGTCAGGTAAATTGAAATGTGTTATCTTCTTCTCTTGATAACTATCCCTATGGTAAGCCATAAGATCCTGTTCATCTTCTGTTTTTTCATAGAAATGGGCTTTGAAAATCTAACTTAGACTTTTTCCTTCTGCCCATAATCAATACACCAGTATATGTGTAAAACATCAAAGCCAGTGACTAGATTAGCATGTAAAAATAGATTAGCATGCAAGAACTTTAAGAACGATTAGATGAATAGAAAACTTTGAAGCTAGTAATTTGTATTTTGACATCAGTTGAATGATCAACACTGCATCATTTGAGGTTTGAGAATGAAATTATTTCTCGTTAACACTGAACTAAAACTAGGCAGAAAATACAAATATTCTTTGTCAGCGATACTGTAAAATCTTGGAATCACACCCAACAGTCACACCGTTTAATATTATCTTCTGTATTTACCTCCCACTCTCTATTCCACCTCTTTGGCTTCCTCTTGACCCAGGTTCTTCAAGAGCTCCCTTAGAAAACATTCATTATGTAATATGAGGTGGGGCGGGAAGGCAACGGCTCACTTCATGTAGCTGACTTTTTTTGTTTTTAATCTGCCCAGATATTCTCCCAGATCCCCTTTCTTAGTCCATGTGGTTGAATGGCGCTGACTGACTCCCAGGCTCCAAAGGTAACCGTTAAGATTCAAGCCTGGCCAATCAGGGTATTGTATTCTTCACATTGAGGGGCATGAACCAAGCCAGACCAATCAAAATTCTCCTTGGGATTTTAACTGGAAACACAATGTGAGTTCTGAGGAATATAAGTCTGGGTACTCCTAAGCATCTTTGTCAACACATTGGGACAGCTTGTCTTGAGAATGAAATCAACACAAAGCAAAAAAGATCCAAGAGATAGAGTGAGGAGATAGAGACAGAGACAGAGAGAAATAGAGACTGTCTTGAATTTATTAAGTCCCTGGATCCAGCCATACCTGAAATTGATATCCCTGAGCATTTCAGTTAATATGAATCAAGTACCCTTTGTAATATAACCCAGGAAGAATTAGGCATTTGTCACTTGCAGTGGAAAAGCCCCTGGCTGTTATACTTTAAAAATACAGGTTCAGGCTGAAAAGGAGAGGAATTTGAACAATGGAATGCAACAGGTAGTCCCTGCATTTTTATCTCCTCAAATTTTTGACCTTTAAAGATTTAATTTATTTGTCAGGGAGAGAGAGCACAAGATTTAATTTATTTGTCAGGGAGAGAGGGACAGCAGGCTCCCCACCGAGCAAGGAGCCCGATGTGGCACTCGATCCCAGGACCCTGGGATCACAACCCGAGCCAAAGGCAGCCACTTAACCGACTGAGCCACCCAGGCATCCCAAATTTTTGACCTTTTTGATAGGGGTACTTATGATATGTCCCAGGAGACAAAAGTAGAAAAGAAAACAATAGAAATGAAACTCAGCCTTCTCAATTGCTGAGAAAGCTTAGAGAAGACTTAAAACAGGATAAAGTAACATCTGGGCTTCATTAGGCCCTTCACGTGACAGTGTCCCAACCCATTACTACTCTTACTACTCCCTATTGCTTATTAGCTTAAGTCAGAGAAGTCGGTCAGAGTTGTGTTAAGACATAATGTGATAGAGTAGCAAGTGGATTTACCTGGATTGAGCCTCAGTTTGCACTTTCATGGCTGTGTGACATGAAGAAATCGCCTAATGTATTACAGTCTTTACTAACATAAAATAGATAAAATATCTTCTATTGGCAGAGATGGCAATTATCCCCTTACGGCCATTCTCTCCTTTACCCTTAGTAACCAAATATTTAGCTAGGCACATGCCCTCTCATTTCCCAGCCTCCTTTGCAACTAGGTGTGGCCATATGACTAAATTATAGTTCTAGTCAGTAGGATGTAAGGGACAGTGTCCAGAGTGGTTTGGGGGAATCTTCCTTAGGAGAAAACTAATCAAGCAGACAGCCTCTTTCCTGCTGTCCTGCCTGCCACTCCCTTGGCAGTGTATTCAATAAACTTTTATCTCCTTTATAAAAAAAAAAGAGAGAGACAACTGAACATTTTGTTCTTCATTTAAAATTCTGCTAATGCCATCAATAGGGGCAGGTTAAATTATGGTACATACTCTCTTAACCCTCTCAGGAAGGGTTAGCAACCTTTATTAGATGCTCTCACAGCACCCTCTTTTTCCTACTTAGACATGTAATGATATTTTACTTTATGATTATTTAGTATCTGCCTCCTCCACTACACTGTAAACCCAGTGAAGGCAGGGACCATTAGGGAGGGCATTCTGTGCCCAGTGCTTAGCACCATGCTCAGTATATAGTAGAAGTTTAATATCAAATGTATAACAAATACACACAATAGAATATTATGCAGCCATCTAAAGTATGATAATGTAGAATTATTTATTGACATGTAAAGTTACTCATAATGTTAAATTAAAAAATCAAACTACAAAATAGTAGATATAGCATGATCTCATTTTTTTAAGAATAGCTATGAATACAGATACCTTGATCTAAACGTGAAGAGTGATACGATTATGGATGATTTTATTTTCTTTGTAACTCCTTGTACTATCTAAATTTTAAAAATAACATTCATTTGACTCATTATTTTCTAATTTACATGATTCTCATTTTGAAAAAATCGAGTAGATTTAAAACAATTTCTTTTTTGTTACAAAATTTCACTTGAGCATACAGTAGTCAGTTAGACAACATTAGAAGCAACCTGGATTTCTGAACGCAAATCAAAACATTGGATTATATTATATATATAGGCAGATGCTATTTATGATTAAAGTGGGCCTCTTACAAAATGATCATTATGATACCTTCATTTCTGTATATTTATTGTTTTAATGTCCATAATACCCATTAGACTCTTCTCTCTCCTCTATTCATATTCCTTCTCAGGATATGAAGAATGGAATACATTATCCTATCCTATGTTTTAGCTAAAGACCAGAAAGATAAAAAATAGTTAAAAGGCAATAGACTTCTAAACGTAAAACAATGTCAGCGGCTGCTACATTTAAAGCACTTTCTTTACATGAGGCAAGTTTGCCAAGGTGAACTTTTTTTCTAACAAAACACCAAAACATTACCAAAATTCTAAAAGTACATTCATTTTAAACAAACGCTTTTGATAGCCTTACTGGTTATAAAACTATAATTGGGCTTTTTTTTTTTTTTTTTTTTTAAGTAGCTTCTACGCCCAACGTGGGGCTTGGACTCACGACTCCCGAGATTGAGTTGCATGTTCTTCCGAATGAGCCAGCCAAGCATCCCTATAGTTGGGCATTTTTTAAAAATATTTTATTTATTTATTTGACAGAGAGAGAGACAGCGAGAGAGGGAACACAAGCAGGGGGAGTGGGAGAGGGAGAAGCAGGCTTCCCGCCGAGCAGGGAGCCCGATGCGGGGCTCGATCCCAGGAGCCTGGGATCATGACCTGAGCTGAAGGCAGATGCTTAACGACTGAGCCACCCAGGCGCCCCTATAATTGGGCATTTTTAAGATTAGGTTATAATTTTCCCTTTTAAAAGATATTTATAGAAAGACATTTACAGATAATCTCTGCAGAGCAACATAATCGTGGATATCTTTTTTTTTTTTTAAAGATTTTTATTTATTTATTTGACACACGGAGAGAGATAGCGAGAGAGAGAGAGGGAGAGAGCACAAGCAGGGGGAGCGGCAGGCAGAGGGAGAAGCAGGCTTCCTGCATGAGCAGGGAGCCCGATGTGGGGCTCGATCCCAGGACCCTGGGATCATGACCTGAGCTGAAGGCAGCGGTTTAACCAACTGAGCCACCCAGGCGCCCCTCGTGGATATCCTAAAAGGTTAAGTAATTGCACTTATTTGATACAACAGTTAGCGTTATTGTGAGGAAATGGAAGATACTTCTGTACGTAAATTCCTTTTCCCAACTAAGTGTAACTGACAAGTTTCATTAAGGTCAGTCTAAAATAAAAAAAGAAAGAAAAATAGGGTAAACACTGGATATGGCAGTCTGTCTTTTAGTAACATTAATGTTGTTGTTCTTGCTAGTTTCAACCCATGGACACAAAGACCTCACACCATATTAAGAAGTGATACCATGACCTATAAAATGTGACAGCCCCAGGAGAACTCTTACACCATCATTCATTTTCAGTAAAATGTCTAACAGAACAGAGATAAATATTGTGCCTTGGAACCTTAATTATACAATACAAATCATTTCTAATACAAATTGTGATGAAGAACATGTGTTGCACAGCTAGGCTCTACATATTCTTTGGAAGCTCAAAAAGTTCAATAATATCCCATCGATCTTCATTTCAGATCAAGTAGCATAAAAGCTGGGTTTTCTAAGTAGGATTTCCACAGATTAGAGAAGCGTGACATTGTAGCACCATCAATAATTCTGTGATCAGCTGACCAGCTCACATTCATTATCTGTGCTTTATATACTTCTCCTTCCTGGTTAAATCGGGGAAGGGCCTAGAAACAAGGCAAAGAACAGAGTCAACCTTCACTTGCTCAAAGGCTCTAGCAATGGTGCAAGATTAAGCAAACCCTCCTCCTTGTAAAAGAGAAGAAATGGGCATCCCAAATGACTTGAAAATGCTAACTCGGATTTTTCCCATTTTTATATTTGCCTCGAGCTTTCAGTTTCTCCAAGGTACTTCCCTGTCCCCTGTACAATTTCCATATATACAGTAAATCTCATCTCAGAATCCAATGATTTAACAAGTATTTATTGAGCACCTACTATGTACCAGGTACTCTTCTCGATTCTGTGGCTAAACCAGTGAACAAAACAAGTAACAATCCTTGCCTTCTCGGAGCTAAAATTTTAATGTAGAGAGAGAGAGACGATTAAGATAAATAAGTAAAATATATAGCATGTTAGATAATGAAAAGTGCAAAGGAAAAAATAAAGCCATGTGGAAAGGGAAGAGAGGGTAGGCAGGGGCTAGATGCAGGTGGCATTTTTTGTTTGACAGGCTGGGCAGGGAAAACCTCACCGAGGCTTCCTCACTGAAGGCAGTGAGGGAAAAAAGCCAGATAGCTACTCTAGGAGATACAGAGGGGACGCGGGACTGGACTGTTGGAGGAAGAGCAAGGTCGGCAGGATGGTTACAGCGGAGGGGCAGGGGTGAGAGGTGGGGGATGAGGTCACAGACGGAGCAGGGGACGGCAGGGCACATTGTCAATGGCAACGCTTCTCAATCTGTCTCTGGTAAATGACCTATTGTTATTTTTTTAAAGTTTCTATTCCATTGCAAGCTATTTTTAAAAAGCATATTAAATTACTAAAGGGCACCTGGGTGGCTCAGTCAGTTAAATTACTAAAAAAAACAAAAAACAAAAAACAAATTAAAAAAGATATATAAAACCTAAAACCTAAGCCCGAACTTCTTATTAGGTTCAATAGACCTAAAATCACCTGTCAAACTGCTGTGAAAGTATCTAAGCTCTATTCTCCCTTTCTGTACTGACCTCCTCACAGTCTGGATATAGCAGTCACAGCCCCACATGGGTCCCCGATTACACTGAGGAGCACCCATGCAGGGCTCTGTAGGCCATTGCAGCTACTTTGGCCTTGAACCTGAGTGAGGTGAGAAGCTACAGGTCTCTGAGCAGAATGGCCATTTACCAAAAGGGGAGAATTTCAGAAGGAGCAAGTTTGGCGGGGGGGAGGGTGGTGAGGAAAGGAACAGAAAATTCAAGATGCCTAATTAAATATCCAACCAGGATATATGAATTTGGTAATCAAAGGAGAGGTCAGATCTGGAGATATAAACTTGGGTGTCATCAGCATATACCTGGTGCTTAAAAGCCCTGAACTAGGATCAGATAAAGAAAAGGGTACTCTGAGGCTTAGAGATTGGGAGATAAGGTGGTCTGGGCAAAGGAGCCTCAGAGGGAACAACCAGTAGACAGGAGGAAAGTCATAGCAGCAAGGTATTCTGCAAGTTGCAGTGAAGGACGTTTTCCAAGGAAGTGGTGTCCATCAACTGACTCCAGGGCAGCTAACAGGTCAAGGAAGACAAGCACTGAGAACTGAGTTATATGGAGGTGTTACCTTCTTAGACCATTTATCAACAAGACATTCAAAATTTACAGTGAAAACAGTAGCAAAGGAGAGGTGACACAGAGAGAAAAGAATGAAATACGCACCGTTTGTTCCTACCCAGTAAATATCAGAAGATTTATACTTCAAGAACTATTCTTCATAGCTTGACGAAATCATGGGCAAAATGATTTGGTAAACAGATTATCTACTGAAAAGATACCTGCACACCAATGTTCATAGCAGCACTCTTCACAAGAACCAAAGAAAGGAGACAACCCAAATATTCATTAGAGCCAAGCAGATAAATAAAACGTGGTACATACATGCAGCGTTTCATTTTGGGTCAGTGATGGATGGTGGTGATGGTTGTAAACATGTGAATGTACCTAATACCATTGAATTGTACAGATTACGATGGCAAATTTATGTTATGTATAGTTTACCACAATTATATATATACAATCAGGAGGAAAATACATCTCTTTAAGGAAAGGGAAAAACAAGACTTTGTCAAATAGGTATGATAGCTGGGAACCTATAGGAAGTCAGAATCCTGTGAGATTCAAATGCTGAATTCTTGCCGGGTGGGGAATAGGTGACAGGGAAGGTATGTTCAGAGAAACTCCTGATTGACAAAGAACAGAGTCCACTATGTGTTTTGGGGTTTTTCTCCCTATCTCCTCTATGTGCCAGGAGGGAAAGTACCTGCTAGGAAGAGGGAGTAACATAGCAGTTAAAGTACTATCTGCAAGAAAACAAATCAAAGGCTGAATGAAAGCATCTGTGGAAGTTTTGGAGGCCAATACAAAAGTAATAACTCATGAAAGACAAGTCCCAGACATGTTCAGTGTGCAAGCATCATATATAAAGAAGAAAGATTCTTCTGAAAACATGAAGACCAAAATAAGTCAATATGGTGATGACATTTAGTAATGGTGGTACTAAAGTGGAATCCAAGAGCTTAATTCTTTGATTCTGATGGTTCTCAACACTGAGTTAATAAAGATGCCCAAGCCCTATCCACCACCCCCTCAGTTCTGATTCAGTTGATATAGGGTGAGCTTAGGCACTTTTTTTCAAGCTCCCCAGATGATTCTAATGTGTAGCCAAGGTTAAGAATCACTGCAACCCTTATTCTAAGTCAGTGTCTCCTAAAACATGGCCAAGAGATCACTCATGTTGGAATCACCTGGGTTCTTGTTTAAAATGTAAGTTCTGGGGGCTCGGTCCCCAAGGCCAAGAATAGTGCCTTTTTTTTTTTTTTAGAGAGGGAGGGGCAGAGGGGGACAGAGGAAGAGGGAGAGAGAGAATCTTAAGGGGGATGCACACCCAGCATGGAGCCCAACACGGGGTTCAATCTCACAACCCTGAGATAATGACCTGAGTCGAACACTTAATTGACTGAGCCACCCAGGCTAAGAACACTACATTTTTTTAAAGATTTTATTTATTTATTTGACAGACAAGAGACATAGCAAGAGAGGGAACACAAGCAGGGGGAGTGGGAGAGGGAGAAGCAGGCTTCCCGCTGAGCAGGGAGCCCAATGTGGGGCTCGATCCCAGGACCCTGGGACCATGACCTGAGCCGAAGGCAGACGCTTAACGACTGAGCCACCCAGGCACCCAAGAATTTTTAACTAGTACTCTCAATGAGTCTTGCTTGAACAGAGTGAAGTTTGAGAAAAATGGTCTAAATGGTGTCTCACTTTGTTATAAATAATAATTTGGACTGGCTAAATAAAGATATTTTTATAGAAGATATTGGCTATATTTGTGATTATCCATAAAGACTTGCACCTGTGCCTGGCATGAACCACTGGGGTTCCATACAGAACAATCCACTGGAATTGCAGGCCTGCCTCTGAGGAAGAAATAATTGGCTTACAGAGACAAATGTTACCCTGCAACCTAAAGTGAGGGCAAAACCTCAGAAATGTTCACTCTTGTGTTTACCCTCCTGATTTGCTAAAACTCTTTTGCCATTTATTTAATAAACACACCTTAATTGATCCAAGAGCCCCAATTGCTACTTCAGGTGGCAGTATCACTGGTTTGGCATAGGTACCACCAATCTAAAAAAAAAAAAAAAGTAGGAAGAGTAGAAAAATTAAGCTTTTGAGGAACAAATGGCAAATGAAATATATTTTTAATTGAGCATATGATCAGAAATCTTAAGATATGATTTGTGAATTTGAACATCTCTATTACTCACTGATCCAATGTTGGAAAGAGTAAATGTTCCTCCTGTAAGATCAGTGGTACTGAGCTGACCTGCAGAGCCCAATTTCTGAAGGCGGTTCAACTCAGTGGCGATCTCAAATATGGAGCAGATCTGGACGTTTTTCACATTAGGGACAATCAAACCCTGCTCAGTATCCATTGCTATCCCAATGTTGTGAGAAGCCTAAAAAGAAAAAAATTATATAGTAGGCCTTTTCATAAGTTAACAGAAAAGAAAGGACCAACCTTCACTGTCATAAAAACAACCAAAACCTATTTCTATAAGATTGATGACGATTTAAAGAATTTTTAAAGAATTTTAAAAAGATTTTTTGGAAAAAATAATTTTTTGTCAGTAAGAATATTGGGCAACAGGCTATTTCCATTCATTATTAGTAGCTATATAAGCTGGTGGATATAATAAGACTTTCTGGGGAATATTTAACAATATGTACCAACATTTATAAAACTTTATGTTAAGGAGATAAATACAGAGTATGTAGAGATATACAGGGATATTGGGTTCAGACTGTGAGTACGAGAAACTGCAAAGTGTTTATCAATAATAGGCTAAATAAATAACAAAAATGATATTTATTGACATGTTATGATGTCAATAAAGTGAAAAAGAAGTAAGTTTAAAAAAATTTAAGTTAATGGGGCGCCTGGGTGGCTCAGATGGTTATGCATCTGCCTTCAGCTCAGGTCATGATCCCAGAGTCCTGGGATAGAGCCCTGCATCGGGCTTCCTGCTCAGCGAGGAGCCTGCTGCTCCTTCGCCCTCTGCTTGTGCTCTCTCGCTCTCTCTGTCAAATACATAAATAAAATCTTAAAAAAAACAAAATTTAAGTTAAATAAAACAATATGTATAAAAACACATTTTTTTTTAAAGTATATGAAAATAAAATCCTGGAAGCATGCACATCTCAATATCAACAGTGAGTTTTCTTAGGGTCATGAGAATGAAGGTAAAGATAGTTACTTTCTTGTCTGAATTTTTTGCAACAAGTATATGCTTAATCAGGAAATTGAATTAATCATATGGGAAGATTTTATTTATTTTATTTACTAATTTATTATTATTATTATTTTTTAAGATTTTACTTATTTATTTGACACAGAGAGACATAGCAAAGGAGGGAACACAAGCAGGGGGAGTGGGAGAGGGAGAAGCAGGCTTCCAGCGGAGCAGGGAGCCTGATGTGGGGCTCAATCCCAGGACCTTGGGATCATGACCTGAGCTGAAGGCAGACCCTTAACGACTGAGCCACCTAGGTGCCCCTATTATTATTATTTTTAAGTAGTCTTCACACCCAGCGTGGAGCCTAATGCGGGGCTTGAACTCACAACCCTGAGATTAAGACCTGAGCTGAGATCAGGAGTTGGATACTTAACTGACTGAGCCACCCAGGTGCCCCTCATGTGGGAAGATTTAAGATCTGACCCCTTAAAATATCTAAGTTCACGATTAGGTAGAAATATAAATAAGTATTAGCATCCCCAAAACAGTTTTCAGTCTCAATAAATCTTCACTCCAAACGGAAGAGTTCATTCAAATGGAATTCAGACTTTCATTACTTTTCCTATTTCCATTCAAATTATTCTTCTTTTAAAAACTGCAGGAACTCCATTCTGAGAGGTCATCTCTTTGAGGGGAGGGTATGTAGAAGGGTTAACATAATCCACTGCCTGACAGCCATTTATTTCCATTATTTTAAGCAATAAACCAAGGGGGCTTAAAAAATGGAACTCCATATATCTGAACAATATCATTAGTAACCAGTAAAACCAACAATAACAAATTATAATTCAGTTTAATATTTCATCCCATACCTTTAATTCTAGTCCAAAAAAAAAAAATCACTATTCGAGGTACAAAAGAAGCTTTTCCAACCTATAAGCACAACTGCGCCATTTTCTATTTATAACAAGAACTTTTCCACAACACATAGCCAACCTTATAAGTTATGTTCTGGCAGTTTTCATCCACAGAAGCATTAAGGATAGGAAACTGTAGTAGTCCCAAGGAAGCAGCCTGCTTAACAGAAAGAGAATGCAACATTAGCACTCTTAACTCAGAAAGGGAACTGGAAGAAATAAAGGGTGTGAGAGAGGGAGAGAACCCTTATTTACCCTGAGCTTAACTTCTAGTCTTCATGTACTGAGGCATATTACTCCCAATGTTACCTTCAAGCAGTGTGCAACTAGGTCACCCTAATCACTTAAGAATAAAAGATAAAGTCATCAGGCAGCTTGTCAACATCAAGGAGATTTTCAAAATAAGTGTAGAGACTGACCAAAGTACCAAACAAAATGTCTAAATTCTACATAAGAATTTTACATGTAGAATCTTACATGAGAAGCAAATTTGAAGTTCAAAAACACCCTGAATTAAAACAGAAAGGCAGTAAGCTGTTTCCCTGTGTCGAAAGAACAAGCACTAAGGGTTTCCAAGGGCACTGACCATTAGAGGCTAGTGTTCCACTTGGTGTCCTTGGCCAAGTGAAGGGTACAGCTGGTGTGAACATTTACTTATAGGCCACCTCCCCGAATTGATAGCATTTATGATTCTCTCCTCTGCTTTCTTCTCCCTTCGTCTTTTTTCCTTTTTTTTCTTCTTACTCAGTACCATTCCTCTTCTGTCCATATTCAGATTTTCTTAACTGTCCCCCAAATGTTCTTTATACCTGTTTTTCTGCCCATCCAGGATCTAATCAAAGTTCACACATTGCATTTGGTTGTCATGCCTTGTATTACATTTAAAAAACAGGTAAATAAAAATGCTTAAGATTGTCCTTAAAATCCACCCCCCACCCTGGCCTTCATCTGGTCCAATTAAGAGTTCTTTATATGCACTGTTAAGTGTTATTTTTGTCTGTGGGTCAGTGGTCGGCAAAAAAATCATTTCCTTGACCTAGAGAGTTAAGGCAAGTTTTACTAAGCATTTGATTTGACAACTATAACTTAAATCTTCTTTATATGAAAATCCATAATTAAGGTTTGTTACACATAAAAACAGTATTTTGAGTGCAATCCAAATTTTGTAAAAGAAAAAACAAGGTGTGTGTCCCTAGATAAGAGGTAATTTTTTTCCCTATACAATACATAGTATTTTCCGAATGTTCTGAAACTTACATAAAGGCAGAAAAAAGATCATTTTAAAACAAAGTACACTCAATTTTATTTTCAAAATAAAGATCAGGTATTTCATTCAGACTGGAACGATGAAGACAAATGATAATAAAACAAATTCAGTATATTAAAAAGCTGGTCTCTCCTTGCTTCTAAACCAACGTCACCAGTGTCACATGTTTTTGTCACTTGTCACTCACATATTTTTAACTCTCCATTTTCCAGCTCTTTCCCTCAGCCTACAGATCTGTTCCGGTTTTTCCAGGATGGGGGAGGGCGGATGGAACCTATCCTTAATCTATCCTGAACAACCACTATACCTGCCCTCTGTGCCTATGCTCCATCTGCCTTTTACCAGGTACTTCTATTTTTTTTTTTAAAGATTTTATTTATTTATTGACGGAGAGAGACGTAGCAAGAGCAGGAACACAAGCAGGGGGAGTGGGAGAGGGAGAAGCAGGCTCCCCGCCAAGCAGGGAGCCCGATGCGGGGCTGGATCCCAGGACCCTGGATCAGGACCCAAGCTGAAGGCAGATGCCCAACAACTGAGCCACCCAGGCGCCCCTACTTCTAGTGTCTCTCCTTCCTCTATTTCTATTCATCCACCAAATAACTGGAATCAAGCTTCTACCCCCACAATACTTTATTCTATCAGTTCTGGCTCAGGCCATTCATGACCTCTTAATTACTAATCCAATAGCCTGTTCCCATCCTAACTTTTGTAATTCATTTTTAAGTAATCTCCACACTCAATATGGGGCTCAAACTCACTCCCCCAGGATCAAGAGTCACATGCTCTACTAACTGAGCCAGCCAGGCGACCCCATCACAACTTTTTTCTTTCCTCTTGGTGTGAGAGGATGAATGAATGGCCCCAATGGTTCATGCCTCTCTCGTATCCACGCCCGTTGGTGGTGCTCACCCCAAGCCGACTCTGAGCTCAGTCATGTGACTTGCTTTGGTCAATGAGACAAGAACAAATATGATGCAGCAGAGCTTGGAAAAAGTGCTGGAGCATTTCTGCTTCCTCTCTTCATCCCTGCTAGTACTATGAGACCACATGCAGGCTAGCATGCTGGGGAGCTGAGAAAGACATAAGGCAGAGAAACGAGTCATCCCTGCCAAAGCCATCTTACACTAGCCCACCCCCACCAACCTACTAGCTGTCTGCAGACACAGAAGTAAGCTCTGCCAAGATTAGCAAACTGGCCCTGCCTGCCTATGGACTCATGAGAAATAATAAATGGCTGTTATTTCAAACCACTAAATTTGGGAGTGGCCTGTTATACAGCAAGAGATACACTTTGGCTTCTAGGAGATACTTTCCTGGTTTTTCTGTCATCATACAACTGATCCCATTCACTCTCTTCCACTGTCTTTGCCAAATCCACTTCTATCTACCCCTTAAACACAGATGTAAAATCTCTAGCCTTCTTTTCTTCTCATTTGCACACAATTTAGGGTGATTTCATCCACCTACTTCAATGACTGTGTTTCTAAAAATGACTCTATAGCTAAAATACAGCCCAGATGTCTCATTTATAGACATCTATTACATCTCATGTTCACAGACCAATCACTTAGCTGTTCGGGTAGCTGCTGAAATGCTGGAGATAAAGAACAGTGTGTGCTCCATGAGGCTCAGCACGCAGGAAAGAGAAAATGGAGCAAACATTTGCACACTGCACCGAGATAAAGTGCAACGGGAAACAGGAATATTTAACTCAAACTGTGACAGCCACAGAAGGCTTCTGGAGGAGGCTATTCCTGAACAGAATTTGGCACTTAGGATGTACAGGTATTTGATCAAAGGAGGAGGGGGCGTTTCATGTGAAGTCACATATTCTAACAACTATGGAGGCTTAATCCGACCAGAACAGAAGGAGTGAGTGCCTGAGACATGAAGCTGGAGAGGTGGGAAGCAGAGGCTTGTGATCCTATTTATATGCCAAATTCAGGGGGTGAGCAACTGACCTGAAGACAATGAAGGAGACCACTGGAAAGAATCAGGGCACAATATAGTACTTTCATTTATAGAAGATTCGTCTTGGTGCAGTATGCAGAAAGGGCTGGAGGGAAGGCACACTGGAGTCAGAGACACCAGTATGCATTTTTGAGTAAAACAGACCAGAACCGGAAAGTTAGCTTCTCCACTTAGCTATATATCCTTGACAAGTTTCTCAACTTCTCTAAGCCCTAATTTCCTTAAGCGGAAAGTGGGAATAGCAGTATCTGCATGTCAGGGTTATTCTGAGAATTAAGAGATGATGTATACAGCATGCTCAGTACATGGTCTGCTACATGATACCTGCTTCATAAATGGTTGTTAATATGAGCTAGACACTGAGCTGCTTATGGTCAATTGACAGTCTGGTTTTATACTGGTCGCAAGGCCTAGAAACAATTCCCAGGACCCTCAATGTGAGTTTGTTGAATAAATGAAAATGAATACATGTCAAGTGATATGCAAGATCAATACCAAGTCTTGTTATAGCTCAAATCTGGATTTTGCTGGAGTGATCCTTTCAGAATTAAAGGCTTTACTTAACTGGCAAGACAATCCATTACCTAGCTCAAAGAGATGAGCTGATAAAAATATGACACAAATTTTAATTTTATAAATTCCTAAGAAACAAAGAAATAGTGCACTTGTACATTTTTCTAACTATATGATATGGTGAGAAGTAATATTTGTATAGTTAACATATTGTATATTTGCAAAACAAAATTTTAATGTCCTATTCAAGCCCTGTTTGAAATGAATGAAATCTCACCTTTAAGAAGAAGGGCATAAAGGTGAGTTTAATTCCACGAGCAAAAGCAATGGGTTTTAATTCTTCTCTTAACTTAACCAGTTCAGTAAGGTCAACTTCATCACAATATCCAAAGTGAGGTATCTTCAGGGCTGCAGACATGGTCTTGACCATTGCTTTGTGAAAGCCTGGAAAACATTAAATATATATGAATCATATATATTTATTTATTTGAGAGAGAGAGCGCATGTGCAGGTCTGCACATGCGGGATGGTGAGGGAGAGAGAAACTCTGAGCAGACTCAGCGCTGTGCATGGAGCCCAAGGCAGGCTCGATCTCATAACCCTGAGGCCATGACCTGAGCTGAAACCAAGAGTTGGACGCTTAACCAACTGCGCCACCCAGGCATCCCAAATTTACATGTATTTTTTAATTCTTTCTTTTTAAGGTTGATTTATTTATTTGAGACAGAGAGAGAGGGAGGGAGAGCAAGAGAGCATGCAAGCCCCAGTGGGCAGAGGGGCAGAGGGAGAGAATCTCAAGCAGACTCCCCACTGAGCCCAAGGTGGCTTGGTCTCATGACCCGGAGACCATGACCTGAGCTGAAAATAAGAGTGGGACACTTAAGACACTGAGCCACCCAGGGCCCCTATATTTTTAAAATTCTTAAATCCTTTAAACCTTTTTACTAAAATTGAGGGTTTTCTTTTTTTTTTTTTTTAAGATTTTATTTATTTATTTGACAGACAGAGAGACAGCGAGAGAGGGAACACAAGCAGGGGGAGTGGGAGGGAGAAGCAGGCTTCCCGCTAAGCAGGAAGCCTGATGCGGGGCTCGATCCCAGGACCCCGGGATCATGACCTGAGCTGAAGGCAGATGCTCAATGACAGAGCCACCCAGGCGCCCCAAAATTGAGGGTTTTCTAATGTCATTTACTTTTTCAACTAAACTCTCCCTCTCAAGCCTACCATCTTCATTATGCAGTTGAAAGACACTAATTCCAATGCTGGAGCACTGACTTCAGCATAGTACCCAGTGTCAAGTGTAATGATATTAAGAGGTAACTGCCTTTAATGCTGTAGTATATTAAAAAAATATGTACAAAAGGATGCAAGCCATGTATTTACTTACTGGCTTTCTTGCAAAGCCATACTTCTGGATGTTAATCCCCCTAAGAGTTTATAAATAACAAATCAGAGCTAGTTATTTTGAAGCTAACTAAAAATTATGTTTGTAACATCCTGAGTCTTTAAAAAGAACAATTATCAGTATATAAGTTTATATTCCAAGAAACCTGCTAACATATTGCTCTTCAGAAATTAACAGTAGAGGGGTGCCTGGGTGGCTCAGTCGCTAGGCACCTGCCTTCAGCTCAGGTCATGATCCCAGGGTCCTGGGATCGAGTTCTGCATCGGGCTCCCTGCTCTGCGGGAAGCCTGCTTCTTCCTCTCCCACTCCCCCTGCTTGTGTTCCCTCTCTCGCTGTGTCTCTGTCAAATAAATAATAAAATCTTAAAAAAAAAACAAACAAAATAGAAATTAACAGTAGAAATTGAAACATTTCCTGGAAAAAGTATATTATTTCACCATTTAAAAAAGTATGATGAATTTGAACTTTCCCCTCAGTAAGAATTGAAAGCACCATATTATATACCTGGATCTTTGAGGAAAATTTCCTCAAATAACTTGTAGTAGTGCCTTAGATTACTGTTATTACCTTTTATGGGTTCTGTTTTATCTTTGCCTGTGAATACTGGAGGTTTTGATATTGGTATAGGAATAGTTCTGTCTTTTGGTTTTGGTGGAGGTGGCACTATTTCAGCTTTTGGCGAAGGAGGTAATATAGCTCCAGTCTGCTTTTCCAAATAGTTGAGAATATCTTCTTTAAGTATTCTGCCATCTTTTCCTGAGCCAACAACTTCACTCAGCTTAATCTAAAAAAAAAAAAAAAAAAAAAGAAAGACATTTTAATGTTAAAAATAAAAAAATAAAACCGATGTGGGAAACAAAGGCAAAAGAAAAATTAAATTTCCTTACTACCTTCAGCCCACTGACAAGTCCTTGAGACAGGCAGAGTGACATTCCTCTAGTAACTCAGCTGCCTCGATGTTAATACTTTGCTAAGGGCAAAAGGCAATCTTAGCTTAATATTATCTGGACCCCAGGATCCTGTAAATTGTCTTTAACATATAAAAATTCCTTTGAAAACTTCCTTTATCTCTACCCCTCTGATACATGTTGGCAATCATCCCCCAAGCACATGGTCCACTGATACACATCTGTAGGGTCTCACGACTAGGGTTTTATTAGACAGTAATGAATAACCTTTTCCCAACAATAGCTAGCCCCCTGAAGGTCCTGGAAACCTAGCTTCCAAAATTCCTTAGACTTACGCTATCCCAAACCCCATCCCAACTTGAAAGTATATAACGAGCCACTCCTCATGACCCCAGTGCAGCTCTTCCTGCCCACGGGTCCTGTCCCCAAGCTTTAATAAAACCACCTTTTTGCACCAAAGACATCTCAAGAATTCTTTCTTGACTGTTTGCTCTGAACTCCAACATTTTCCTACAACAAAAACTATCTAGAAATAAATATATCCATCATTAAAATCTCTAAATGGCATTTATTTATTTTATTTTATTTGACAGAAAAAGACAGCGAGAGAGGGAACATAAGCAGGGGGAGTGGGAGAGGGAGAAGCAGGCCTCCCGTGGAGCAGGGAGCCCGATGCAGGGCTCGATCCCAGGACCCTGGGATCATGACCTGAGCCGAAGGCAGACGCTTAACAACTGAGCAACCCAGGCGCCCCTCTAAATGGAATTTAATCAATTGAAGGTAAAAATAATCTCTGCCCAATATAAATTTGTATAAGGAAATAACATTTTTATTACCTTAATAGAATGCTATAAACTATAGCTACCCTCTGTATGTAATCATTTGTTACTTTTTTTATTCATTTGTTACTTTTGTACATACTGTTCATTTGCCCATGTGGTAACAATGCAGTATCTACATTGTACATAATCCATACCTATGAAAACTTACATTTTATAAACAGTCAACTATTTTTAAACTTCTTGCATAGTTCTTATTAGATTTTTTTTTTTTTACTTTTGGAGACTATATAAGAACGGAAAATTAAACACTATAAGCAAATGTAGACCAATGTTTCTGACCTTTTGTAGAGAGCTAGATGGATTCGCTCATGTCAAGCAGCGGCATAAGCAGCCAAAGGCATCGCAGCTAAGACCAGAAATCACCAAAACTAGTGCAGTACTAAGGAGACAATCTGGAAGGTCATGCAAACCTGGAAGAACCAGGAACTAGTAGTCATCAGAACCAGAAGAGGCCTGCCAAGGCCTAAGACTAATTAAACTTTAAAAAGGTTAGACATCTATAGCAGACTCTGCAGATGCTGACCCTTCCACATCTGACTGCATTAAAAAGGCAACTGCCACCAAAGGTTCACCCGACTGATTTCTGAACATAAGAGATCCTCCACTGCCCAAACATAGTAAGCAGCCTGTGCCAAGTGCTGACCCAGACCAGACGGAGTCCTTACCTCAACCGTGCACTCAGGGACTGACCTGGTGTTTGGTTTGTTAACTTCTTACCCCTTACAGTATCCTGTTGGTTGTGTGACTTTATATTTGTACTTTGTTTTGTGTGACGTGTATGAAGCCAAGTTAAATGCGTAGCAAAATGTCATTGAGTTTGTGGGCGCCTGGGTGGCTCAGTTGGTTAAGCGACTGCCTTCGGCTCAGGTCATGATCCTGGAGTCCCGGGACCAAGTCCCACATCCGGCTCCTTGCTCGGCAGGGAGTCTGCTTCTCCCTCTGACCCTCTTCCCTCTCGTGCTCTCTATCTCTCATTCTCTCCCTCTCAAATAAATAAAATCTTAAAAAAAAAATGTCATTGAGTTTGGAATCCTGAACTTGCTTTACAATTATGTTAACCTTGCTTTGTGATTGAAGAAAGCTGACACCATGGAAAGACACAACTCATGTACATGCCTTTATAGCATATTCGAGACAACTTGGCCATCAATCAGTAAACTAGTAACAGTTAAAATAATCATCATACAAAAGCTCTCTTAGTTTTTTTTCCTCATAGTTGTTTAAGTACAAAACACTGAAATTAATTTTACTGAGTAAATTTAAATTTACTGTGAGTTTCTCAGCCCAAGTTAAGTGTCAAATATATGTTTTATTGTTTTTTTTGTTTTTCTTTTTAAAGATTTTATTTACTTGAGAGAGAGAGAGAGCATGAGCATGAACAGGGGGAGGGGCAAAGGGAGAGGGAGAGGGAGAGGGAGAGGGAGAGGGAGAAGCAGACTCCCCACTGAGCAGGGAGCCCAACAGGGGCTTGATCCCAGGACCCGGGGATCATGACCTGAGCCAAAGGCAGATGCTTAACAGAGTGAGCCACCCAGGCGCCCCTTATTGTTTCTACATAATAATAAATGACATAATTCCACTTTCCACTAGATACTCATTGTGAGATTGTGATTTATAATAAGTATACTTTTGGTCTTCCTCCCCATTTCTGGCACGGAGCTCCTAAAATCCCTGAAAGGACCTGGGAAAAGAGGTCTCTTTTGTTATATTAATGAACTTTTGAAAAGCCCTTAGGGAACTAAAAATGGAGCCTGGTTGCCAGGGGAACCAATCTTGTGATAAGAAGTTTGAAACTTTCAGTACCCTACTCCAAATCGGGAGGGGTAGGAGGTTGAATCAGTTGTCAATGGACAATGATTTAATCAGTCATGACTATGTAATGAAGCCTTCAAAGAAAACCCAAAAGAGCTGGGTTTAGAGAGCCTCTAGGTTGTGTGCACATGGAGATTTGGGGAGAGTGGCACACCCAGAGAGGGCATGGAACCTCTATGCCTCTTTCCACATACCTTGCTCTGTGTCCCTCCACCTGGCTGTTCGAGAGTTGTATTCTTTTATAATAAATCGGTAATCTAGTGAATAAATGGGTCTCCTAAATTCTGTGAGCTGCTCTAGCAAATTAATCAAACCCAAAGAGGGAATTGTGGGGACCTCTCATCCATAGCCAATAGGTCAGAAGTACAGGTAATAACCTGGGCTTGCGATGGGCATGCCGAGTTGGAGGGGGGTCAATGGAAACTCCTGTCTGTAGCCAGCCAGTCAGAGGCATAGGTTATCACCTGACCGTCTGAAGTGTTGTAGGGGAGGGTGGGCAGTCTTGCAGGAATGAATCATTAACCTGCCAATTCTGACACTATCAACAGACTGCGTCAGAATTGACTTGAATTGTAGCTACCCAGTTGGTGTCCAGAGAATTGCTTATTGTTGTGGGAACCATCCCCACCCCCAATACACACATTGGAACTGGGTCCAGGAACCTAAAAGGTTCGGGATTCTCTCTGGAAACACTGTGATCTGGCTTTATTTAATCCCCTTCTATGTTTGGTACAGAGATAAAGTATTCTCGTTAAATTTAATTCTGTTTAAATAAAAAGACACATAAGCTTAGATGATAGCCTCATACTTACTGTGTATTTATTAATTTCTCAGGGTTAAGTCCTGCATCATTTGTATTAGTGCTTCTCTAAGCATGACTTCAGAATAAAGGACTTTATCATGTCAAACATTTAGTTTATAACAAAGAATACTGAGGATTTAAATAATTTTTAGGTAATTTCAAATAACTGTAAATGACATTGGTTTTTAATTTTAAAACAAACTCAATTCATAAATATGTAAACTGCAGAAAAAGAAAAGGTGATTTATAATAAGTAATCTAGTAATTTCTGGTTATTATATAAATCTTCTACTTATTATATACATCTTTAAGAAATGGTATAGGAAAGCAAAATCATGCATTGCTACAGGTAGTTTTACTTTTTTTTTTTTTAAGACTTTATTTATTTATTTGAGCTACAGTGAGAGAGCGAGACAGAGCATGAGGGGAGTGGGCGACAGAGGGAGAAGCAGCCTCTCCACGGAGCAGGGAGCCTGACATAGGGCTCGATCCCAGGCCCCTGGGATCATGACCCAAGCCAAAGGCAGACGCTTAATGACTGAGCCATTCAGGTACCCCAGTAGTTTTTCTATATAATTAAGAAATACATTAGTAAAATACTTTATAACTTTCAAAGTAATACATAACATCAATCTTCCATCTGATGCCCTTACCAATGTAGTGTTCCACATTATTTCTCTTTTCTATTATGCTAAATAGTCTTCATATTTGAACACATTTAATCACTACATAAATTTTCATTAAGGGTTTAAAACATAATTTACCCAGGGGCGCCTGGGTTGGCTCAGTTGGTTGAGTGCCCCGACTCTTGGTTTGATCTCACGGTGCTGGGATCGAGCCCCCGCGTTGGACTCCGTGCTCAGGGCAGTCTGCTTATCCCTCTCCATTTGCTCCTCCCCCTGCTCTGTCTCTCATAAATAAATAAAATCTTTAACATAATTTACCCAAGCATATCCCTCATTTTGAACCCGTATATGCCTTCTCATTTTGACTGTATAAAACACTTGGAAGAATGTATCCTAAATTATTTCCTTGGGATAGTCTCCCAGTGGTAGGGTAAGTGACTGAAGGGATATGAACATTTTAATGACTCATTACATATTTCTAAAATGTACGCTTTTGTTTTTTCCCACTGTAACTTTACCTCTCTCAAAAACAGACAAAAACCCTGCATGATGGGGCATGGTGCAAAGAACCCAAGTTTGAAAAAGATGTGTTCAAATCCCCAGTTCAGCTACTTACTTGATTTGAGGCAATTAATCAACTTCTCTGCCCTTTCTCATCCTACCCTGCGGGACGGCTGTGAGGGTTAGAGAGAGAGTGTGTGTACACAGTGTCTGACTCATAAATGCTTAAGTAATGGATGCAGTCATTGTTGAGGCAGTATATCATGATTAAGGGTACTGGTTTTGGAGTCACAGAGCCTTACTTCAGAATCCTGGCTCCACCACTGTGTTAGCTGCGTGACCCTGGACCTGTTACTTCACCTCCCCAAGTCTCCAAATAGCCCCCATAACTTACAGCATTACTGTAAAAATTAAATGAGATAATGTGTACATACTGATTCCAGTACCTGGGAGCCACTTAGCCCTGGGTAAGCACGAATGACAGGGAATTCAAAAGGCTGGTCTCCAAGTCCCAAGTCAGTACAATTTCAATGGTTTTCCCTAACCCCACTGGATCAGATCCTTGAGACCACACGCTTGCCCAGCCCATTTCCCTTCTCTTCCTTTCTCTATCTGCTTCCCTCAGTCCCAGAAAAGTTGTTCCTTCCTTCAATCAATCCATCACATGCATCCAAATCCCTGTCTCAAGCTGGCTTCTAGGGGACCTGATCTAAGACACTAGTATTTACAAATGTGCAATAGATGGTAGCCCTGACTATTATTAGTCTCTAAGGAAAAATTATAAAACCACACTGCTCAATTAATTAAGTAGTAAGTTTGCAATTTCTTGTTTCTCACTGGTGCTTTTCTGCAACAATCACTTTTCAGTAACATAGTTATCATTTTTCTCTAACCTCAACTTGAGCCATCTCTTCATGGAATAGTTGGCTAACTTTTCACTGATACAAATGTATATTTTCTAGGTAACCTCACACTTAAATATTAAGACAACTCACATTGTTTTCCATTGCTAGGCGGCGAACTGCAGGAGTTGCCAGTGTTTTTTGGCCCTTTATCTCTTGGTGTGTGTGTTCATCATGTGACACAGCAGGAGTTTCAACCACATCTTCTTCTGAATCTGGTCAACAAGGTAAAATTTTACTCTTTAGTTGAAAATATTAAAAAATAAAAACAAGCTTCGTGGCTTATAATATATAAATAAATTCAACTTAAAAGATATAATCAAAAGCATACTAGTCAGGCTACTTCAAAGTGGGAAGACACAACTTCACAATGGGAAACAAACGGGGTGGGGGGGAGGGGGGTATTGGCACCTAGTGCTGTGGAATATTTATTATTACCTGGTGTTTACTTCATTTCTGTTAGAATCATGCAGCAGCTACAAGTTAAAAAATGAGAGCTTCTTCAATAAAGTTTTAAACGTTTTGTATTTTAAACACTTCCCTAATAAATTTCTCATTTATATTTACAAATAGTATAGAGTAAGAATCAAATGTGAGGCAAATGACATGAAAGAATCATATAAAAATCTGTGACAATCTTAAAACGCTTTCCTAAAATAATAAAGCATGTAACATTTTTCTCTGCTTTGAATACGGCTTAAGGAAGGCTGTGGAAGATTTTATTTTCATGGCTAATGCTAATTTGGTTGATCTAGTCTCTAAATCTAGATAGATGAAAAACTACCCCAGGCTATTAGCATGTATTTCTGCAACCAAAATAAAAAAGTTTTTGAGAGCATTTAATTGTCTGATGCTTGGAAATCCATGCTGTACAGCAGAAATCTCTGTGGTAATGAGTGAATTAGAGACTAAGCCTCTGAAAGCAGGCAACTGAATTTGCTCTGACATTCCATTCAAAGCAAATAATTCTTCGCTGCTGTACCTATGGAAAGACAATCTCTTCATTCCTCCTCACTGGTCTATGAACTGGCTGGCCCAGTGGAGCTCTCCAAGTTCCCCTAAAGGTGAGGAAGGCAAAACAAAACAAAACTTGTATTGAGCATGCAGGGTAGCAGAATATGCCACCCCAAATATGCCACTTTTGTATACTGATTATTTTGAACTGTAGGCACCTGACAAACAGCAAATGCAGGGAAAGGCATTTCCTAAACTCTCATGTGCCTAAAGACAGATCTTCCAGAAGGAACTCAACTGTCATAAATCTCTTCCCCAGGAGTTTCATCCACCAGGGAAGACTGACTGCCATCACAGGAGGGACTAGAAATCAGCGCTACACTCAAACTTTGGCCCAAATTGTCATACCTCCCATCTGTTCTCTAAGGGCCCATTCATCTTCCTGAAAAACTACTTACTCTCCCCTAAGAAGCCAACATCCCACTTCCTCATTCCCTATCAAAATGATACTTAAGCCTAAACTCTAAAGCCACCTCTGTGAGTTACTCATCTTTCCCTGGGTGTCTCCCATGTATAGATGAGGTATACATGTTAATAAACTTCTATTTTTCTCTTGTTAATCTGTCTTTTATTATAGGAAGTCTCAGCTAAGAACTCAGAAGGTTAGTGGGATAACTATTTTTCCTCCCCCACAAGCACCTATTATATGTCAAATACTGCACTACATATGCAATATCATAATTTAATCTTCATTCCAACTATGTAAGATAGGTGTTATTATCCCATTCTATGGATTAAAAAAATTTGACACTTGAAAGGTGAAAGGATTGGCTTAAGTTCACACAGCTAAGAAAGTGTGAAGAGCTGGGATTCATTCCTAGGGCTGCCTTGCCCTGTGCTGTTTCCATTAGTTCACGACCCTAGTAAATTTTCTTGGCGGTCACAGAAGCTAGAACACAGCTCCTATTGTTCAAGGTATAGTTTTGTTGCAATTTGAGAAACCCTGTAGTATTGTCCACATCTGTTAAAGTTACTGGAGAAACTAGTAAGAAAGATGAGCATTAGGAACTAAGATGCAAAGGGAAAGCAAGGGGATTCAATTGTAGGAATTCCAAATAAAACCTGAATTAATGTGTATTTGCTGGAATATGAGAAATGTATAAATGCCCAGAAATATCCAACAGTTATATATTTCTAAAAGATCATTGAATTTACTATTACCTTTCTGAAAAACATTCTGATATTACATTATATATTATTTGTAGTAGTCATGTAGTTGTTGGAAGAAAGCTCTCTTCTGCACTAAAATACCACCTTACTACATAGAACTTTAAATCATTTTCTGAGTTTTTTTATACAGATTTTCTCCTTTTATGATCACAACACTGTTAGAGGAATGCAGGGCATATTTCTCAATTTTATCAATGTAGAAAGAGACTCTAAGAGGCGATGGAGTTAAGGCTAACCTAAAATTTTGTAACTCTCCCCCAAGTAAAGTGATTTTCAGGATTCTAGCACTGTACTCTAATATGTGGGATTTTATTCTTTCAGTAGTGGATTTAGAATATACAGTTTTAAGAGCCTTACTTAAATGTTTAAAAAGAACAAAAAGACTCTGGTAAATAAGCACTTTTTGTCACGAAAACTGTCAATGTTGCCAGAATTCTTCATGTGATGCAAATTTATAATAGAACTATTATTTCAGGTTAACTAAATAAAAAAGCAATTCGAATCAGTAAAAATATTAAAACTGAAGTTGCAATATTCTTAGGTATTTTAAGAACTAAGTAGTCTATTAATTCACTTAATTGGGGAAATTCTTGTAGAGAAAATGTTTTGAAATACTAAAGCACTCAAGGGTGTTTGAAACAATTTGTTTTCATAAAAAGTTTTAAACTTTTCTCTCTGCGAAACTGCTTAGGTAGACCTTTCCTTGTAGAACAAATGTAAACTTTAGTTTGGGTCCTAAATAAATGATTGTAAGTTGAGGACTAATGATACTCAAACCAACGAGATCCTACTGCATTTTCTTTTTCACATCAAATTATTTAAACAGCTAATTCAATCAGTTCAATCTACAACTGGCTGAACAAAACTAAGTTATAGCTACCATTCATGCCCACTTCCTATGCCCAGGCACTACACTCTGCAATTTATGTATTTAGTTTAATTTAATTAAATGACATGCTATGTTCTTAGAATGGTTTTATGTCAAAGAGTTTTTTTTTTTAAGATTTTATTTATTCATTTATTTATTGGCAAGAGAGGGAGAGAGACAGCATGAGTGGGGTGGGGGGGTGAGGGGTGAGAGCAGCCGAGGGAGAGGGACAGGAGGACTCCGTACTTAGCACAGAGCCCTACGTGGTTAAAACCAAGAGTCAGACACAACCAACCAAGCCACCAGGCACCCCTGAAAGAGCTTTTCTTTAACTCAGAACACTGTATTAATCCTGGTAAACATTTTAATATTATAAACTCTTTGTGGGGTGGTGCCTGAGTGGTGCAGTTGGTTAGACTTTTGCCTCTTGGTTTCGGCTCAGGTCATGATCTCAGGATTGTGAGATCGAGCCCCATGTTGGGCTCAGCACAGAGTCTGCTTCAGATTTTCTCTCCCTCTCCCTCTGTCCCTCCCACTCATGCTCTTTCTATCTAAATAAATAAATCTTAAAAAAAAATAGATTATAGACTCTGTGGGACACCTAGTTCATGTTGTTATAGCAGATTTTCATAAATATGCATATGAACAGTGCTAGAAATTCAGTCCCAGTGTTCTAGATGCAGAATGGAGCTGATACTCACAGTCTCTGAATAGAATTTTCAGTGTAACAAAGTGGTTAGGAATACAGGCTTCAGAATTAAACAGAGCTGGGGTCAAATCAGAGTTCCACCAGTTACTAACTACGTGACGTGACCGCAGGCAAGATATTAAACCTCTGTGGGTCTCAATGATGCATGTGTCAAATGCAAATAATAATCCAAATAACTTAATCTACATGATTATATGAAATAATATATATATAGCATTAGCACAGAGAAAGCATTCAGTCAATGATAGGCAGTGATGCTAAAGGATAGAATTCTGCTATAGCTTATGTTCCTCCCTCTCTTTCCTTAATACTTCCCCATGGTGGCAAGACTCCTCAGTTAGGACTAATTAGGTATAGGGGTGGTGGTCAGACGTCCTGACAACCTAATTCCGCACATAGCTTTAGGATCAGAATACCTAAAACAGCTGACACACAGCCTCAGCATTAAAACCGTGCCCTTGCTCCAGAAAAAAGGAATTTAGACCCTTAACCAGATCCTACTTTCTCTTCTTTGTACCTCCTTAAAAAACTTAGTTATCGGTGTTCCCAGAAAGTTAGGAAGGAGAATTATGGCTGGGCACGATGATAATGCTAAGAAGTAGGTTGAAAAACCAAAAGCCAGATGCAAAATTGTATTGTTTCCAGAATAATAAATGTTCATTAGCATGTTTTTGCATAATCAAAAAAAGATTCTAGGCTATACTCAATACCCTCACTTTAGGAAGGAGTAAAACATATAAAGTTAAAAAAAAACTAATGATTCCCCTCAAATAAATGATTTTGAGAAGTTGGTATAAAAAACTTCAGTTATTTAAAAAAGTGAGGAGCCATCTTACTTTGTGAAATAGACTAGAGAAAGCCAGGTTAGCTGTAAAAAGAATGCATGGCAATATACTTAAAACTGAGTTTCCAGCAGATAACACACTGAGACATGGAATAGCTTTGATATCATCTTGATAATATTAAATAACTGGATTTCAACTTGTAATACATATTTTTTAATAGTATATGTCTTGTAGTAAATGTGCTGCTGAAGTGAGCACAGAAGTATATGCCTTCTAAATGTCACACATACAAGGTGGCATAAGTAAGTCCAGTAAGCTCTTTTCAAGTGGAGGTCTGTCTACAGTCAAAGCACTCATAGGTAGGACTTGGATCTATCTAACTCTATCACAAATAGAGTTTCCCTTCTCAGAATTATCCTGATACTCTGGCCTTGAAAAGCGGACAACACCACCATGTTACAAAAAAACAGTACCACAGAATATCATTTAAACAAGCACTGGAAGACAGGATTAATTTCCAGTACTACTATTAAGATGTCTAGTTTTGATCTCTTATACCCTTGATAGTTCTATGTTATAATTATTTTCCCCCTGTAAAATGGAAATAATGTATCTTATACTCCTAAAAGATTTCTTGTTTGGTAATTTTCTATAGTATAATATAGTATAATTATAGTATAACATAGTATAATATAGTATAGCAGTATAGTATATAGTGTACTTCGTTTTACTAGCACTAAAGCAAAAAACAATATAAACAAATTGAATATTATTACAAATTCTTGCTTAAGAAGAGGTATACAAAATATTTAGAAATCTTTCCCATTTCTAAAATTAAAGAGAAGCATATATAAATGTCTCATTAAATTGAATCTACTGTTCTATAGGTTTGCTTATATATAGGTTATGATTCATAGTTTATTCTTATAGTAAAAAAATACAATAAAACATAAATATAAGAGCAAAAAGGTACATATGCAAAATAAAATTACAATGTAAGGTAATTGTTCAGATTGCACTCTGACTAGCAAACAAAACAGAATAGCTAGCAAATGATCAGTTCTCTATGAGGAATATTAACAGATAATTTTTATTCTGAACATAATCTAAGCAATCTCACTTTTTACAGACATACAATAAACTGCACATACGTAAAATATAAAACTTGGTAACTTGAAATATGTATATACCCATAAACTATCACCACAATCAAGATAAGAAACATATCCACCACCCCCAAAAGATTCCTTATACCCAGGCAACCACTAATGAGTTTTCGGTCCTTATAGATTAGTTTGCATTTTCTAAAATTTTATGTACATAGACCATGCAGCATATTCTCTTTTTTGCCTGTTTTCTTTCGCTCAGCATACATTTTTGAGATTCATTCATGCTACATAGGAGATTAATTTTTGTGAAACAATTCTCTAGAAAAAACACCCCTACTCTGAAATAGTTCTTTGACTTTGTATTTTGCTATATAACAAGACTTAAGTTGAATCTCATTGGAAATGCCAAAATAAACTCTAAAATCAAACAATAAAAACCCTGTAAGTCTCAATTGTTTGCTTGTTCATATAAATAATTCATTTTTTTGGATGGCTTAGATTAGTATCTAATCTGGTCTAGAGCACTTGACTGGGTGTTCTAATTTAATGATATCCATAATAGTGTTCAGCATCTTTGCTTGTCTCAATTTGTGCCCAGAATGATGCTCTCTAGTGGTCTAGTGGTTAGGATTCAGCGCTCTCAGTTTGTGCCCAGAGTATAACCCTCTTGCCTTTTTAGGTCCTAATTTAATAATAATAATAATAATAATAATAATAATTTATTTTTTTAAAGATTTTATTTATTTATTTGACAGAGAGAGACATAGCAAGAAAGGGAACACAAGCAGGCTTCCTGCTGAGCAGGGAGCCTGATGCGGGGCTTGATCCCAGGACCCTGGCATCATGACCTGAGCCGAAGGCAGACGCTTAACAACTGAGCCACCGAGGCACCCCAATAATAATAATTTAAAGGTCATTGATCCATCAAAATAATTTTGTGTTTCAGGTAGTTTTAAAAGGTAAATTCTTTTTCATTTTTAATATTCCTAAATCATGACTTTCAATAGAAATTTGGAATCAAGATAATAGAAAGCACCCCTACTACCTAGGTTATGGTCTCTTGTCCACTCTACATTAAAAGGAACAAGAGCCCTGAAGAAATGGATAATTCCAGATCTCGGGTAGGGAACATACAAGGTGAGTCCCAATTATCTTCTCGTGCCAAAAGCAAGGAAACTTTTGAAAATTAAAGGACACACAGGAGCCACCCTGAAAGGGTCACTCCTATTAACAATTTCAGCATGAAAAAGAACGATTATAGTAGATTTAACACAGTAAATCAACTGAATACACACAAAGAGAAAGTTGGAAATTTAGTATCACTATTAAAAGAACCTCCTTGGTAAGGGAAAAGAATTAAGCATTTATTCTGTCTTTCCAGTAGGAACTGTATTTCAGAGTAACTAACAGGTCCAATTGATGAGGGTGAAGCTCCACTTTACAGAATAATGCCAGCTAATAATGTAAAAAGAATGACAGAATCAAAAAATCATCATTCCACAACCCCTAAAGCAAGTGCTGATTTAGGCAAGCATTCTCAAATGACTATAAACTATCTATATAATGCCAAAGTAACACCACATAGATAACTTCCGGGTCGCAAAAGGTAAAACATAACTACAATGGAGGGGCAAGGGTATCATTATCCTAATTCACTATTTAAACTTAGTGTCACTATAGCAGGTCATCCAGATGTTATGTGTGTCTCGATGTGAAGCTATATGAAGTACACAATGTGATCCATGATGTATTCTAGCCAAATATTTGACTTGAACCTAGCCTTTGAAACTTGCTTCCAGTTTACAGGAACTGTAAGAATGGTAAGAACAAGCCAACACCACCATGAAGGAGCAACAAGACAAATCCCAAAGATGTGACATTTTGCAAAACAAATGACACAGTCCTGTCCACAAGTCAGTGTCACGAAACAAAATGGGAAAGAGTATGAGTCACGTGAAAAGAGACCATGGGCCATGTCTAGTGCCATATTGGACCCATTTGAACAAACCAATTGAAATTTCAAGGACATTTTGGGGGCAACTGGGGAAATTTAAATACAGTCCATCAGAGAAAATGAAAATGTATTATCACAAAAATACATATCTAGTTAAGCAAACAGATTAGAATACAGTAAGCACAATACATTACTTTGGTAAAACTACTTCAATGCATATGTGTGTGCTTAGAAAAATATCTGGAACGATAAACACTAATGTGTTAAGAGTGGTGATTTCTGAGTAGCAGGAATGTTTTCATTTTCTTATTTTTGGTTTTCTGCATTTTATAACTTGCTACAACGTGCATATCCTGCTTTTATAGTAGAGATTAATAAATAATAAGGCTTCAATAGGCCATCTTCCAACTTTTGGAGGCAGCGTGTCATAGTGTAAAATATTCTGTACAGAGGCCATCGAGATCTAAATTTGGTTCTGTCACTGACCATTGGGCAAATAGCCCAACCTCTATAGGTTTAGTTTCTTCATTTGTTAAACTGAAATACTTCACAAGTAAGGATAAATAAAATAATGGTGAAACTTTTTATAAACTGTGAAGTATGACTGTGATATTAGGTGTTGCTGTTGTTATTAATGATAGAGTCTATAGAACTATGAGTCAACCAGCCACCGTAATTCAGACTTCTTCTGGACTTTTGAATTACACTACTAAAATGTCTATTTCAGCCCTGAAATAAGTGAAATATTGCTGGCTTAGGGTGGCATCACAAAACTTATGTCACCACCGCCCCCCCCCCCGCCAATCCCTGATGGCAAAGCTGTTTCCTAGATGACGTAACTTTAGTGTATTGCAACAATGCCACATAAGGAGCTTCTGGGGTAGACAGCCAGCAGTTTGCCTTCACTGGGAGAGCCCACTGTTTTAGTTTTCCTCTGAAACACTGTCACAACGGATTCACTTTTGTCAGGACATCTACTGCTTCTAAGTTCCACGGTCGCTGCTTCTTCTGAAGGCTAGTCTCTTCACTTTTCATTATGATTTTCCTTCTTTTCTCTTCCAGTTCTCTTCAAGAACTTTGGCTTTCATAACCATTACCAATGAGAGTGTCGGGTTTTTTTTTTTTAATATTTAATTTAAAAATTTTTTAAAGTAATTTCTATCCCCAACGTGGGGCTCAAACTCACGATCCCAAGATCAAGAGTTGCATGCTCCACTGACTGACTTAGCCAGGCACCCCAAGTGTTTTTGTTTTTGAATCAAAGGCAAACAGAATGATCCCACTGTTACATTTAATCCTGCACATACTCCAGTTTTTGTTATTAGTGACTAGGATTCAAGGCCTGAATCTTTAATTCCTGAGAACGCCTGTGGATTCTTTGAACACTAAGTTTTCCAGAAGGCAGGCCTCCAGATAAATTAAGTGTTAATGTATATGTTTCTAACATGGTTACTGGTCAGAAGATAATCATGCATCACAGAGGATCTTTTCTATTTTCCTAATTTCAGCTTTTAAACCACCAAATTAAATCCTATAATTTATTAAAAGTTAACATCTCTTTTAATTGGTACCCAATAACAAAAGGACAGCAATAATCAATTTGGCAGAATAGATGAACACATTTACAATACCTTTTAAAGCTTCCGTTTCTATGTCTACTAATGGCTTTCCCACATAGGCAATATCGTCTAGATTATAATACAGTTTTTTAATGACTCCATCATAACGACTAGTGATAGTAACAGAAGCTTTATCACTTTGAACTTCACAGATGCTATCAAACTGAGACACTGTATCTCCTTCTTTTACATACCTAAAAGAAAAAGACACAAAACACTTTTACATGAATAATTATAAGTATATAATACTAGTCATCCTAAAAATGTAAATGCTACACTGAATTGGATCAGTATCCATCTAGTACATCATTTAGTCCCAGATGGTGCACCGAAGAATGTTTCAGAAAAAGACTAAACGCTTCCAGAGTCTCTTTGATGTATCCCCAAGAAATACTAAAAATTTAAAAACCATTCATAGATCTATAATCCAAAAATTTAATTACACTTTCAGGTGTTGTGCCTCACCCATTTCTTGGGAGAAATTCTAAAAATATGTTTTTAAAATGTTATTTCCTCTTATTATTTTATATTAGCCTTCATCAAACTTTCAGGTTTGTCTATTATTCTATAATTAAGTCCAAAAATTGATATCCTAAGTGCATATTCTTTGTAATTTCATGAATTTTGGATTGATTCCTCTCAGTCTTTCCTTCTAGAATTATTTTAATCTGTCCTTGTGTATGAGTCCCTTTTTCTCCTTAATCATCTTAGGTATGCTTTATAAGGCTCTTCTAAATATTTTTTTTCCTCCAGATTTTATTTATTCATTTGACAGAGAGAGAGAGAGCACAAGCAGGGGGAGCAGCAGGCAAAGGGAGAGGGAGAAGCAGACTCCCCACTGAGCAGGGAGCTCAGTAGCCTGATGTGGGGCTCAGTCCCAGGACCCGGGGATCATGACCCAGCCCCCCAAGACAGACAACCTACTGAGCCACCCAGGCACCCCAGGCTCTTCTAGATATTCTTAGCAAACAGAACAGGAGGAATGGGACCAAATCTGAAATACAACATATAATTTTTATTCTAATACCATTCTTGATGTATCTGGCACATTTCTGACTTATTACCACCATTCTTCATTAAGATAATTATTCAGTCATTCTTATTCCTTGTCTTCCTGTCTTAATCAGTTCTCAGTCCATAATAAAACATCACCCATGACATAGCAACTCGGTTTAAAAGCACATATAGGAGACTTACACTTCTAGAATGGTTGACTAAGGACCTCTGGAATTCTGCTCCTCTATAAATGCAACAAGTATACTGGCAATAGTTGTTAAAAACTGACTTTTTCAGAATTCTAGAAATTACAATAAGGCTCACAACAATCAAGAAAGACCTATTCAGGAAAAGTGGCTGAACCTCATTAAAAACAGCTTTTTTTTTTTTAAAAGATATTATTTATTCATTTGAGAGAGAGAGAGAGTGTGCAAGGGCAAGCACAAGCAGGGAAAAGAGCAGAGGGACAGGGAGAGAGAGAGGCAGACTCCTCGCTGAGCAGGAAGCCCAACATGGGGCTCAATCCCAAGACCCTGAGATCATGACCTGAGCCGAAGGCAGACACTTGACTAAGCCACCCAGGCACCCCCTAGTTTTATTATTTTCACTTCTTCTATTCTCATTCTTCTTTCCCTAGCTCAGCATTAGTCTTGAAAATCAGCAGCCTTACTGCCATAGCAAGAGCAGACCCAAGTTTGGAGTTCCACAAAAAGCCACAATCCCAGAGAACTGTCACTCTTTGACATGTTGGGCAGCTCTCTGGAAAAATTCCATTCACAGAGCTTATTCTTGTTTGACCTGACTCAGCTCTCTCAGGGTATTTGCTGAAAACAGTCCACAGCAATTTAAAATTATGGCTAGCTGAGGCAATGATAAAAGTTAGGACAAACAAGAGGTTCTTAAAAGGAAGACCTGGGTAATAAGATGTTCATATATCTTACCACATATCTGCCACATTATTTCATGTAAAATATCCAGTTGTCAACAAAAAACTATAAGAAACAAAGTATGGCCCATGTAGAGAACAAAAGCAGTCAATGGAAACCATCCCTGAGGATGCCAGATGTTAATTAACAATAATTAGTGTTAGTAATTAACTTTAATAAAAGTTAAATTAAATCAACAATTAAATATTCAAAGAACTAAAGGAAACCATATCTAAACAATTAAAGGGACACAGGAGAAAATGATGCCTCACCAAAGAATATCAATAAAGAGATAGAATCGTTGAAGAAATAATGGCTAAAAACTTCCTAAACTTGATGAAAACATTAATGTACATATGCAAGAAGCTCAACAAAGTCCAAGCAGTATAAATTCAAAAGAGCCACACCTAGACACATCATAATCAAACTGTTGAAAGACAATGAGAAAATCTTAAAGTCAGCAAGAGAAAACCACTTATCAAGTACAGGAACCCTTATAAGACTAACAGATGGTTTCTAGTTAGAAACCATGGCCAAAAGGTGGTTGAATGACACATTCAATGTGCTGAAAGAAAAGAAAGACTGTCAGTCAAGGATCTTGTATCTAGCAAAGCTATGTTTCAAATAATGAAGGAGAAATAAATACATTCTCAAATAAATTAAAGCAGAATTTTTTTTAAAAGATTTTATTTATTTATTTGACAGAGAGACACAGTGAGAGAGGGAACACAAGCAGGGGGAGTGGGAGAGGGAGAAGCAGACTCCCAGCTGAGCAGGGAGCCCCATGTGGGGCTCGATCCCAGATCACGACCTGAGCCAAAGGGAGACGCTTAACTGACTGAGCCACCCAGGTGCCCCAAAGCAGATTTTTAAAATTATTATTATGTTATGTTAGTCACCATACAGTACATCATTAGTTTTTGATGTAGTGTTCCATGATTCATTGTTTGTGTATAACACCCAGTACTCCATGTAATATGTGCCCTCCTTAATATCCATCACCGGACTAACCCATCCCCCCAACCCCCTTTAAAGCAGAATTTTTGCTAGCAACCTGCCCTACAAGAAATGCTAAAAGGAGTCCTTCAAGCTGAAATAAAAGGACAAGAGACAGCAACTCAAATCCACATGAAGAAATAAAGAATACTAATAAAGATAACTACATAGGTAAATATACAAGACACTATATTTTGTTTGAACCCCTTTTTAATTCTGAGTTACAAAACAAGTGCATAAAGCAATACTTTAAAAACTGTTGATGGGCTTATAATGTTTAAACATGTAATACATATGACAATAATAGCAAAAAAGGAGGGAAGAAAGGAAGGAGCTATATTGGAGCAACGTTTTTAATGTACTATTGAAATTAAGTTGGTATTAATCCAAACTACATTGTTTTTTATTAAACCACAGGGCAGCCACTAAGAAAGTAACTAAAAAATACATACAGTAAAAGAAACAAGGAAATTAAAATGGTACAGTAGAAATATCTATTTATCATAACAGGAGGCACTAATGGAGAACTACATGAACAAAAACCACGTAAAACATATAGAAAACAAATAGCAAAATGGCAGATATGAATCTTGCTTTATCCATTACATTAAATGTAAATGGCTTAAACATGCCAATAAAAGGCATAACCTGGAAAAATGGATTTCAAAAAACAATTCCACTGTATGCTATCTACAAGAGACACAAATAGATTAAAAGTAAAAGGATGCAAAACAATATATCATGCAGGAGGGGAAGACGGAGGCAGAGCAGGAAGACCCGAGGCTCATCTCATCCCACAAATACAACTAGATAACTCTGAAATCATCCTACATACCCCAGAAATCAATCTTAAGACTAGCAGAAAAACTTCACAACTAACGGTAGAGAAGAGGCCACATCAATGAAGGTGCGATGTGCAGAGACATGGTTTGGGAGAGAAACAGATCAGCCGCTGCAGTTGGAAGGTAGCTGTGGTGGCAGAGAAGGGTGAGAGACAGACTAGCACATAGGGGAGTGCATGGGGAAAACTAATTCCCACAATAATTGGCTTGGAAAGTGAGAGGGGCTGGATTTCGGGAGTTCTTGCAACCAGCAGGGCTTAAAGCCTGGAGTTGTAAAGGTGAGTGGGCTTGGCTCAGATAGAGCCTGAAGACATTGATTGGGGCCACTGTTGGAGAGAAGTCAGGGCAAACAGCCTGCAGACATATAGCATGGAAACAGTGACCTCAAGAACATTCTGGGTCACAAGGTGGGGAGGTTATTTGTTCATCTTAGAGGACATTCCAGAGAGGCAGCATTCAGAGAGAGAGACCCTCCAGGAACAAAGGAACTGGAAGGTGCAATTTCCATCCCCCACTCCTCAGCAAAAGCACAGGACTACCTATGGGAGGCAGTGCAGTGCCGACACTCACTACTTAGCATGCTTACACCAAGTGTACCACCTCCTCCACCCCATGCTCCAGTAGAACCACCCTTCCTGGTCACACTCACCTCAGTCCCAGCATGGTGGGCCCCTCTTCCCAAAAAGTCTGGCTCAAAACCCTGCCAACACCATATCTCTCAATCTGGGAATTTTGCGGAGCCTTGGTTCTGACAGTGATGGCAACAGGTCTCATTTCAAAAGCAGACCAGAGCACACCTAGTTAAAATGCACCACAGTCAGGCCAGGGACCAAATACTGCCCACAGCAAGCAAAGACAGCCTCTGCAGACAATGGGCCTAAAGGATAAAGTGGCTGGGATAAAACAGAGCATATGTTACACACATTGGAGACACTTCCAGAAGCTCCAGGCCCTGGAGAACAGGGGACACTACACGGTAGGGCACTAGAGGACCTCTTCTTCATAAGGCCATTACCCTCAAGAACAGGGGACGTAGCTGACTTTTCTAACACAAAGAAACAGACACAGAGACTTAAACAAAATAAGAAGACACAGACATTTGACCCAAATGAAAGAATAGGACAAGGCCATGGCTGGACATCTAAGTGAAAGAGATATAAGTAACATGCCTGATGGAGTATTTCAAGCAATAATCATAAAAATATACTCACTGGACTTGAGAAAAGAGTGGAAGACATCGGTAAGACCCTTAACACAGAGATAAAAAAGAACCAATCAGAGATGAAGAGTACAATAAGCAAGATCAGAAACACACTTGATGCAATGAACAGCAGTTTGGAAGAAGCAGTAGAACAAATTAGTGACTTAGAAAACAGTAATGGAATGTAATCAAGTTGAACAAAAGAGAGAAAAAGAATTGTGCAAAATAAAAAT